GGGAGAAGCAGGCTCCGGCAGAGCAGGGAGCCCGATGTGGGGCTCGATCCCAGGACCCTGGGATCATGACCTGAGCCAAAGGCAGACGCTTAACAACTGAGCCACCCAGGTGCCCCTCATAATATGTTCTTAGAATTGTTTTTATCTCCTTGGTGTTGGTAGTGATCTCTCCTCTTTCATTCATGATTTTTATTAATTTGGGTCCTTTCTCTTTTCTTTTTGATAAGTCTGGCTAGGGGTTTATCGATCTTATTAATTCTTCCAAGAGCCAGCTTCTAGTTTCATTGATCTGTTCTATTATTCTTTTGGTTTCTATTTCATTGGTTTCTGCTCTAATCTTTTTCTCTTCTCCTGCTTGGTTTAGGCTTTATTTGTTGTTCTTTCTCCACATCCTTTAGGTGTAAGATTAGCTTGTATATTTGAGACTTTTCTAATTTTTTGAGAAAGGCTTGTATTGCTATGTACTTCCCTCTTAGGACCACCTTTGCTGTATCCCAAAGGTTTCCAACAGTTGTGTTTTCATTTTCATTTGCTTCCATGAATTTTTAATTCTTTTACTTCCTGGTTGACCCATTCATTCTTTAGTAGGATGCTCTTTAACCTCCAAGTGTTTCTTTCCAAATTTCCTCTTGTGATTGAGTTCAAGTTTCAAAGAACTGTGGTCTGAAAATATGCAGGGAAAATCCCAATCTTTTGGTACCAGTTGAGACCTGATTTGTGACCCAGTATGTGAACTATTCTGGAGAATGTTCCATGTGCACTTGAGAAGAATGTGCACTCTCTTGCTTTAAGAAGAAATGCTCTGTATATGTCTGTGAAGTTCATCTGGTCCAGTATGTCATTCAAAGCCCTTATTTCCTTGTTCATCTTCTGCTTAGATGATCTGTCCATTGCTGTGAGTGAGGTGTTGACGTCTCCTACTATTATTGTGTTATTATCAATGTGTTTAATTTGGTTATTAATTGGTTTATATATTTGACTGCTCCCAAGGTAGGAGAATATTTATAATTGTTAGATCTTCTTGTTGGATAGACCCTTTAAGTGTGATATAGTGTCCATCTTCATCTCTTAGTAAGTCTTCAGTTTAAAATCTAATTTGTCTGGTATGTGGATTGCTACCCCAGCTTTCTTTTGATGTCCATTAGCATGACAAAGTGTTCTCCACCCCCTCACTGTCAATCTGGAGGTGTCTTTAGGTCTAAAATGAGTCTCTTGTAGACAGCATATGGATGGCTCTTGCTTTTTTAATTCAATCTGATACATTGTGTCTTTTGTTTGGAGTATTTAACCCATTTACATGCAGAGTAACTACTGAAAGATAATGAATTTAGTGCCATTGTATTACCTATGAAGTCCCTGTTTCTGCAGACTGTCTCTGTTTCTTCCTGGTTTATTTTACTTTTGGGCTCTCTCTTCACTTACAGGATCCCCTTTAATATTCCTTGCAGGGCTGTTTTAGTGATCACAAATTCTTTTAGTTTCTGTTTGTCCTGGAAGCTCTTTATCTCTCCTTCCATTCTGAATGACAGCCTTGCTGGATAAAGTATTCTTGGCTGCATGTTTTTCTCATTTAGCATCCTGAATATATCATGCCAGCCACTCTGGCCTGCCAGGTCTCTGTGGATAAGTCTGCTGCCATTCCTATTCCTGTAGGTGAAGAACCTCTTGTCTGGAGCTGCTTTCAAGATTTTCTCTTTACTGCTGAAGTTTGCAAGCTTCACTAATATATGTCAGGGTGTTGATCTATTTTTACTGATTTTTGAGGGAGGGGGTTCTCTCTACCTCTTAGATTTGAATGCCTGTTTCCTTCCCCAGATTAGGTAAGTTCTCAGCTATGATTTGCTCAAATATACCTTCTGTCCCTCTCTCTCTTTCTTCTTCCTCTGGGACCCCAATAATTCTAATATTGTTTCACTTTATGGTATCGCTGGTTTCTCAAAGCCTCCCCTCATAGTCCATTAGCTGTTTTTCTCTTTTCCTCAGCTTCCTTCCTTTCCATCATCTTGTCTTCTATGTCACTGACTCTCTCTTCTGCCTCATTTACCCTAGCTGTTAAGAGCATCCATTTTAGACTGCATCTCAGTTAAAGTATTTTTAATTTCAACCTGATTAGATCTCCTTTCTGCACTAAGAAATTCTCTAGAGTTTTTTATGCTTTTTTCAAGCCTAGCTATTAACTTTATAGTTGTTATACTGAATTCCATCTCTGACATCTTACTTATATCCATATCAATTAGCTCTGTGGCAGAGTATTACCTCTGGTTCTTTCTTTTGTTGTGAATTCCTCCTTCTAGTCATTTTGCCCAGAGAAGAATGAATGAACGAGAGAATAAAATCAAAAATATCAACCACGACCCAAGACAAATACAGACTACATGAATCTGAAGAGGTCAGAAACCAAAAAAGAAAAGAAAAAGAAAAAAAAAGAGAAAAAGAAGAGAATATACTTTCCCAGGTGGACAAAACAGGGTGATCCACTTGGTCGTGGGTGTTATTTTGGTCTGTCTGTCAGAAGACACTAAATCCCAAAATTGTAAAGAAAGCAAAAAATTATATATGTATTGAACACAGTGAAAGGAAGCCAAAAATGAAGAATATATTTATAAAATGTAAATGTAAAAATGAAAGTTAAAAAAAAAAAGACTTAAAAACAAAGAGTTGATCAAATAAGAAACTAGTTGAAAAGGAAAAAAAAAAAAAAGGAAAATTTGGAAAAAAAAAAAAAGGAAAATTTTAAACTGAAAGATACATGAATCAGAAAAAAACCTTGAATTCTCTATACTATTTTCTCCTAGCACTGGAGTTTTGCAGTTCTGTGTGCTCTGTAAACTTGGTATTTGCCTGATGTTCCAGCTGGTCTTCTCGGGGGAAGGGCCTGCTGCCCTGATTCTCAGGTGTCTTTGCCTGGGCAGAGGTGAACTGCCCCTTGCCAGGGGTGTGGGCTCCGTGTAAGCTGTTTTGGGTTGCTCTATGCGGCTTTTGTTCCCTGAAGGCTTTCTGTGCTACTTTAGAGGATGAAAATAAAAATGGCCAATCTCCAGTCCCGGAGCCGAAACACTGTGGCCCCTCTCTCTTCAGTAAGCCCTCAGGGAAAAGCAGTCTTCACTTTTGTGTACACCAAACTCTGCAGGCTCCTGTGGTTTGCACCCCCACCAATCCTCCCAGGGAAGGGAGGAGGGTTGCTCCAAGCCTGCCACTTGCAGGGCCCCTGCACGGAGAGCAATACTTTTTCTTCCAAAAAAATGTTATCATTTTAGCTTTTCCATTTAGTTTCAGCTCCATCTCAAATTAGTTTTTGTGAATAATGTGACATGCTTGAGGATCCTTTTTCTTTCTACACCAGAGGCCCTTTGTTCCAGCACCAACTGGTTGAGGAAGCCTTCCTTTCTCCAAAGAATTGCTCTGGTGCCTTCACTGAAAATCATGTGACCATATTTGTATGGGTCTCTTTCTGGATTTTTCACTCTTATGCCAATACTGTCTGGATAACTGTAGCTTTATATTAAAAGTCTTGCTATCAGGTAGGGTAAGTTGCCCAGTTTTGTTATCTTTTTCAAAACTGTTTCAGCTATTCTAGATTACACTTCCCTATGGATTTTAGAATCAAATTTGTCAATTTCTACCAAAAAAAAGTCTGCTGGGGTTTTGATTGGGATTGCACTGAGTCTATAGATACATTTGGGGAGAACTGGAACCCTAACACATATGAGTCTTCCAATCTATGAACATGATTTTGCACACTTTTCAATAAATTTGTCCCTAAGTATTTCATGTTTCTTGATGTTATTCTATTTGGAGATTCTGTAGGCTTGTCTCATGTAGGCACATACGTAGCCGCAGTCTACATATGTTTTCTGTTTTCAACCTTTATGCCTTCCTTTTTCTTCCCTATTGTGCTGGCTGTAAGCTCCAGTATGCTGAATTGAAGTGGTAAGAGTAAACACTTGTATTGTTGCTGATCTTGGGAAAAGCATTTGCTATTTTATAGTTAAGGATGATGTTGAGGAACAACTATTTTAGTTTGCTAAGATTTTTTAAAAATCATGAATGATAAAGGCAAACATAACAGAACCTATCTGTATCTAAGAGAATCATATGATTTTTCTCCTTTACTATGCTAAAGTGGTGATATTACAGTGTATGATTTTTCTACGTTAAACCACCTTTGCATTCCCAGCATACTTGGTCATATGTGTTATCTTTCTTATATACTGCTGTATTCAATTTGCTAAGATTTTTTGAGAATTTTGGAATCTATGTTTATGATGGATACTGGCCTTTAACGTCCTTTTCTGGTAATGCTCTTATTTGGTTTTGCTGTTAGGTTATGTTGACCTTAAAAACTGAATTGGGAAACATTCCCTCTTTCTCTCTTTTCTCCAAGGGTATGTGTAGGGTTGATGTTATTTCTTCCAAAGTGCTTGACAGAATTCACCAGTGAAGCCACTTTGATCAGGAGTTCTGTGGGAAAGTTTCTGATAACAATTTAATTTTTTTGACAGATGTAGGAACATTCTTATTTTCTATTTCATTCTGTGTCAGTTTTGGCAAGTTGTGTTTCTCAAGGAATTTTTCCATTTCATCTAAATTGTTGAATTTATTGGCATAAAGTTATTAATAATTTATTCTCTTAATGTCCTTTTGATTTCAGTACGCTCTGTAGTGACATTCCTTCTTTCATTCCTGCTATCGGTAACTTGTGCTCACTTTCTCATCAATGTTGTTAGGAGTTTACCAATTTTTTCTCAAAAAAACAATGTTTAGCTTTTCTAATTTCCTCTATTTCACTGATTTTTGTCCTTGTTATTTCCTGTCTCCTACTTTCTTTGGGTTTCATTTGTTTATCTTTTTCTAACCTCTAACGTGGAAACTTAGAACCCTGACAGTGAATCTTTCTTCCATTCTTGTAGAAGCATTACAACTAAATTTATGTAGTTTTTCAAGCAATGTGCTACTTGAGGTAAAGCTCAAAATAGCCTGAGAGGGAAATGCTAGGAGACACTTCTTAACTAAGAATCATCTGGAAGTTTTCCAAGAATTGGTAAAGATGGGAAAAGGAGTTCACGGATATTCTTCAGAGATAACAAACTCGGGAAGTGAAGAGAACTTTCAAAGAAAGACAGATTTACAGGTGCTTATGAAATCAGTGCCAAGGACAAGCCTGGCAAGGGATTAACTTTTTATACAGTTTGTCAAACCCCTTAGATCACACAGTATTATTTCATCAGGAATCTTAAAGAATTTCCCGGCCTTGGGTCCTACAGCCATATTTACAAAATAAGAATAAAACTTGTCACTGTACCTTTTCTAAATTTGGGCTTTATTTTTGAGGGTTCCTCCTGTGATTTGCCTCCATCTTGAATGGGGAGTACCATGTAGCACATCAAATCAAGGACTTTTTCACATGTCATCTAAAGCAGATCAGATGAAAAAGCACCAATCTGAAATTTTATCCTTGAAAGCAAATCAACAGAACACTAATGTGTGCAGCAGACAACTGGGCAATGTGTGTACATGGATGGCTGTAGCACTACCTCAAGACTCTATGAGATCATTACTGTTTGCTCAACAGCAAATGTAGAAAAACTAACTGAGATTGAATCGAGGTACTAGATCTTTGGGGGAATAATAACTCATTCTTTGCTATTAAAACAAAAGAACAAAAATTAAAAATTTAGTCAAGTATTAACTAAACTACCCATGTGTTTAACAGCACAGTGGCCCATCTTAAAGACATTTACTAACTCACTGAACAGAAAAATCAACAAAATGGGGACACAAAGTACTGAACTACATGGTATGACATACAGCATAATTTAAAATGAAAGAGAAACACACACAGGCTAAACTAGCTGGAAAAGGTTCAGGTAGGAAGGTTACCCTTATCTCAACCTTAAAGGGAGGGAAGAATTTGGAATGTGGAAAACAGAAAAAAGGGTTTTCAGAGGAGAGAAAGACGTAGGGAAGGGCTGGGTAGTGTTTAGGTGATTAGGTGAGGGGAAGGAAGGCGTGGTTTAGGAAAAACCGGTCTGATGCAGTGCTTGTGCGGAGGGAAGCCTCAAGTGCCACACTGAGCAGGCTGCTCTCGATCCACAGAGTGAGCCATTACCTTTGGTCTACCTGTTCAAATTCTAATAACAGCCAGATTCCATTTGGGGAGTGTATTCTATGCATCTAGCACAACCTTCTTATTATCCCTATTTTACAGATGAGGAACTGGAGTGTTAAACCTATGCTTCCCAACCTTTTTCATGTCTTGGTGCATCCAGAAAATACTTGTAAGGCTGCTCAGAGCTGGCAGCACTAACCTGGGGGCCCTAGCTGCCTCAAGCCACAGCTAACTGAGAGCGTTGGTCTCTCGGCACATCCAGAACCCACCCAGGGCCATAGCGTTGTGAAGCTCCAGCTTTAAAAGCTTGACAGCTTGGTAGTTAAGAACTTGAACACTGGAGTTAGAAAGCTCAGTGAGGGGCGCCTGGGTGGCTCAGTTGGTTGGGCGACTGCCTTCGGCTCAGGTCATGATCCTGGAGTCCCGGGATCGAGTCCCACATCGGGCTCCCTGCTCAGTGGGGAGTCTGCTTCTCCCTCTGACCCTCTTCCCTCTCGTGCTCTCTATCTCTCATTCTCTCTCTAATAAATAAATAAAATCTTAAAAAAAAAAAAAAAAGAAAGAAAGCTCAGTGAGGTAACTTGCCTCAGGTCACAGAGCTAGTAAGTGGTGGGGCCATGATGTGTTCTCCAGGGTCATATGCCCACCTCCAGCCAATCTTTTCTGTAAATTCTTCCTTGACTACATGGACCCTGGTGAAAACACCCTTTCCTGAATGCCTACTGTGCATATGTCAGGGGCATACCACTTAGTATTTGATTTTTAACTGTCTTCTATAAATAGTTGCACTTTTCTCTGTAACTCAAATTATATGTCCTGAATTAGGGATCCCCCATTCCCCATACCCTGCTTATATCTCCACCCCCAGCACATGGTTCAACTCTGGGCACTGAGGAAGTCAATATTTCAGTTAAGTGGAACAATGACAATCTTGTAGAAAGCAATGACCATAACTTAGAGATGGAAAAAGATTATCGGCAAAAATCTCAGTTCAGAGCCATGGATTAGAGTGGTGGCAAAGGAAATAAAATGCACTACACCAAAGATATTAGCTTCACACTGGAAGAATCAAAATGATTAGCCAGAGTAAGAGTCAACCATGATTTGAGAGTTTTACATCTAAGGGCCAGAGAACGAAGGAAACTCACATCCGGACACACTGGGTCTGAGATGAAGACAGACAGCTGAAGGCAGCTGAGATTCAGGAAGCAGGTTAAGGGGCGCCAGGGTGGCTCAGTCGTTAAGCATCTGCCTTCGGCTCAGGTCGCGATCCCAGGGTCCTGGGATCGAGCCCCACATCGGGCTCCCTGCTCTGCTGGAAGCCTGCTTCTCCCTCTCCCACTCCCCCTGCTTGTGTTCCTGCTCTCGCTATCTCTCTGTCAAATAAATAAATTCTTAAAAAAAAAAAAAGAAGCAGGTTAAGTGAGAAACTAAGGATGTAGGCCTAATAGTGATCAGCTTTGACTGAAGCCCTCAAAGAGAATGAGTTTGCCCAGCTTGATTAAATCTGTTTATTTTATATTCCCTAATATGATGCTGAATAGCAGTGCCTTGTGTAACTCTCTTTCTACACAATATATGGATATCTCCGTGGATAAATATGTGCTCTCAAGTTCTCAGGAGGAATTCATTGAAACTTAGAATTAGGTACCTGATAATTACATAAATGATGGCAGAAAAGTATTTTCAATTTTCAATGCACAAACTTTATGTGCTCTCTAATTCTTTCCTCCTAAATATCATCATAGCAAATTATAAATCATATTTCAAAGTTGAAGTTTAAAAACTTTATTCAGGGTTACTAATCACAAAGTAATCAACTTAACGTATAGAAAGATAAGAAGAAATCAGAGTTTGTGTGTTAAGTGGTGGCCTTGAATTTATATTGTATAAAGAATAAAGAATGTGCTTATCATTTTCATTGAATTCAAACATTTATTAAGTATCAAAGCTGTGCAGACCTCTGTGGTAGGTGCTATGAGAGATTCGAAGGTAAAGCACATGGTCTCCACCCTGTGGTAAGAGGGGCTCACAATCACAGAGGAAACAGACTTGTTTATATATCTGCTCCTGAAACACCCCTATGAGGTGTCATCATCATGTAAAAAGAGAATCTGAGGCTCAGACAAGCTAATGGAAATCCTCCATTTCCCACTTAGTAAATGCCTATTCTGTCCAAGTACAACAGGACTGATTCTGTTTTAAAGGGATTCCAGATAAGAAAGTAAAGAATAAAAGAAATCATCCTCCAACAAAATGGAAAAGGAGCAGAAAATCTGAAAAGTACCAAAGCCTAATTTCAGGGAAGCTATAACTAAAGAGAAAACTAAGCAAAACAAAATTATCAAGATTTTTACCAGCAGATTAGGTGATAAAATCTAGGCAGAAAAATCCTATTTCAAATAAACATGCACTGAATTAAAAGGCCACTCTAGGAAAAGAGGAAGCCCCAGGGTAGCTGAGTGCCTCTGAGGGTCCCTGGGCAAGGTGCACACTACTCACTCTGTACTCCCCTAGAGAAAAGTGGCAGGTCGCTAGCTGGATGAGTGCCCTCTGATGCTCCAGGGTCCCCTGTCCTGTGATCTGCGGCTGAGGAAGCGACCCCTGGAGAGCTGCTAGATGATGCAGGCTGGCTATTGCTTTTTTATATTGACCCTAAGAAAGACATAACAGCAAGGAGGTGAAAAACACTGTTAAAAAAAAAATCTCCAGAGTTGGGGTGCCACAGTCGATTAAGCATCTGACTCTTGGTTTTGGCTCAGGTCGTGATCTCAGAGCCGTGAGATCAAGCTCCGAGTCGGGCTTCGTGTTCAGCGCGGAGTCTGCTTAAGACTCTCTCCCTCTGCCTCTGCCCCTCCCCCATGCTCTCTCTCAAATAAATAAATAAACATTACCAGAGTTAATTAAGCAACTACAAATAAAGCAGCTCTGTTTGATCATCTGAGGAGGAAAAAGGAGACTTAGCAATAATCAAACCAACTTATTTAAAGCTAGGCGGAGGGTTCTCTATGGAGGTACTTTATACGTACAAAGATTTTTCTTTCTGGTCTTAATTCTTTTTTTTTTTTTTAAGTTTATTTATTTTTTAGTTATCTCTACACCCAACATGGGGATTGAACTCACGACCCCGAGATGAAGAGCCACATGCTCTACCGATTAAGCCAGCCAGGCACCCTGGGTCTTAAGTCTTAAGACTAAATAAAATAACACAAGCTTTTGGATAAAACACATTTTGGACATACCATTTCTTATAAATATTTTACTACTCATACCATTTCTCCTTTATGTAGGATGGAAGCAGCAACCTGTCTGTTTCGACAACAGAGGTTGGAAGCTCTGCATCTTCTTAGGGAATTATTAGCTCTCTCCATTCCAGGCATAAGTAGCTCAAGAACAGTGGGGCAGGGCAGAAGGACTCCATCAGAGTAGAGAGAAGGAGGGGCGAGAAGTAGTCATCTTTTATTAAAAAGTAAAAATCTTACTTTCACAGAGGGGTGTGGCTGGACATATTAAAAGAAACACAAAAGACGTGGCCTTGTCATTTTGGGGTTTTTTTGAGATGAAAGTGGACCATAATCCTTCTGCCACTGAAGACAGAACATGTCTTCAGAGCACAACTAGTCTACAGAAGGAACAGATACATCCCACACGCTATAGTCAGTTCACAGTAATAATCATCCTATACAGACAGAGGAACTTAAAATATACATCACTCTACCTGATAGATGATCATATCAGTGAGGAAGATTCTTAACCAAAGCCAAGTATCTGTCTTCCAGGCCAAACAAATTCTTGTAAATTCTGAGAATTCAAAAGCAAATTTACCAAAAACATGTTAACATAGAAGCAGAAAACAAAACAAACCCAGCAAAACAAGAGACAAACTTCCAAAAAATGGATAGTAACTATCGACTTTTGATTTCTAAAACAATGGTCTAGAATTTTAATTAGATAGTAAAGTTAGAATATAATACTTATCAGTAATCCACAAGCAGTATTTTTATTAGGCCCCAACATATACTAAGCACACACCATGTTCCAAGAGCTGTTCAACCTCATTTATCTTGTAAATTATTTTGCTCTCCTCAGAAAAAGGTATTGTTTTATTTTCACCCAGCTCAGAAAACAAAGATACAAGGTAAGAATTTTACTCATTATTTATTTATTAAATATATTTTTTAAGATTTTATTTATTTATTTGACAGAGAGAGAGAGACAGTGAAAGAGGGAACACAAGCAGGGGTAGCTGGAGAGGGAGAAGCAGGCTCCTCACCGAGCAGGGAGCCGGATGCAGGGCTCGATCCTAGGACCCGGGGATCATGACCTGAGCCGAAGGCAGATGCTTAACCATCTGAGCCACCCAGGCACCCTTTTACTCATTTTTTTAAAAAGTCAAGTTATAACTAAAGGAAAACTACCCCCACCCCCAAAGGTCACATACACATTTACAATTCTAGATGTGACCAGGAGAGATGGAATGATGCTCTATCTACCTAGAAAAAAATGACATGACACTTCTGACCAAGGGTTCTGTACAGGCACATGACGGAAGCAGGCCCAAGGACGAAGGTCCATTGGCCAGAAGGAAAATAAAAACACACTGTTGACTCCAAAGCAGAGTAAAATTCCATGGCTTAGCAACGCGCTAGTAATTTCTAAGTAATGTTGACATACTTAATAGTTGTAAAACTCCCTGTAGATTTAGGTCTATTCTCAAAGGAAAACAGGCTTTCTGTAGGGTGAGTTTTTCAGGCAACGGAGTTAATGCAGATAAAAATAGCATTACCTTTTGTATGCTTAGCTACACGTGACCTAAGGAAGACACAAGGCAGACAGAACAACTAAAAACACAAAACAAACCCAGCAAGAAAAAGAAAGGAGGCCAGCAATACAAATGTCTCCCTCAAACTCCACCCCACTCTAGTTATAATAAACACTCAGAGTAGAAGCTAAGATGTAAATAATCATTTGAGTATTTTTTTGATCATTTGGATATTAATCACTGATTAGATGTCCTGCTTAAGAATCCTATAAACTGTGTGAACTACTGTAAGCAATTTAGCTCTAAGTGTCTTGCTGTTTCAAGTAGAATGCTTTTTTAAGCACACTGATTGTACATGACACATTAAACAGCACTAATACGACAAGCATGTTCTTACCCTTGTCGAGGAATTCCAGGGAGTAGAGCAACTCCCAGCTCTCCCTGGCTAGCTTAAAGCTCTCGAGCACTTCAATGGAGTTAGCAAGCTCTGCTTTATTGACTACGATGTGACGATTCCTTCCTTTTGCTGAACAGTCTTCGTCGTCTGAACTCTGCTTACAGAAGGTGAAGAAGGTAATTAACTTAGTCATATACAGGTGACCCGTCAACAACACAGGTTTGAACTACACAGAGCCGTTGACATACGGATTTTTTACAGTCCAGCACTGTAAATGTACTTCTCTTCCTTATGATTGTCTTAACAACATTTCCTTTTCTCCAGCTTACTGTGTTGCGAGAATACAGTATATAATATATAGAATATGCCAAATATAGGGTAATCAACTATTTATGTTATCAGTAAGGCTTCTGGTCAACAGCAGGCTATTAGTAGTTAAGTTCTGGGGGAGTCAAAAGTTATACACAGATTTATGACTGTGCAGGGTGGGGGGGGGTTGGCGTCCCTACCTCCATGTTGTTCAAGGGTCAAATGTACTTGGACGTTGTTATGTTTATTACCGCCAATTCTGATTATTGTATGGATTTTATATCAAAGGATACTACCATGAGGATAGTTTCACTCTCACACATTCAATTTTTACCTTAAAAACTAAGCTTATGTTTTTCTGATGATAAATTCTAAGCTAATGCTGGCTTCTAAGTAAAGCCATGGGGTTAAGACCTCCAATAGTTTAAAAACGTATCAATGTTATAAAAGCCCCCAATTAGATTCTTACAGATACAGCTTACGTGGCATGTGTTTTGTCATTTATTTTTTTTTAATATGTGAAATAATTTAATTTGCTTCCCAATAAGTTTATCATGTAGAGGAATTAAAATTAAAGCCCAAATGCCCTAAGAATCAGAGAAATGACTCTTCCTAATCTTTTGTTCCCTATACACAACTTCTCCCACGCCAACCCTCTCTAGCTCTGCTCCCCCAGTGCAAGGTGTCGGCCAGGAATTACATTTGCCTGCACTTATCTATTAAGGCCTTCTGTAGTTTATAATAAAGAACCCTACTTTTCTTGCTCTTCATCTCAAGAAACATAAAGCCAAAGAGAGGTCTCAGAGAATTGCAACTATTTAAGTGCCAGTGAGCATGGTCAGACATTTTGCCAAAAAATAGTAAAGGTAAAACAGCTCCACTTAATTTTATTTTGCTGAGAATTTCTTAACTCTTATTATCCCTACGTTATTTTACTAACTTAATGACCCAAATTAGATTCTCCCTACAGATTTTCACACCACTATGATGATTCAAAAATATGTACAAATATTTCAGCTAAAAGCTCCATTCCTCAAGCTGATCTCAGAAAAAATAAGCACCTCCCTCCCACTACGCACCTTTCTCCCCCCACTTTCACAGCCTGGTATTCTTCTGCCAGTCCTTGATGCTTGGGGACCCTCCCTGCTTACTCTATTTAGCTATCATATTCTTATCCTCCCCCAATAATGACACATACCCAGATTCCTTTTACAATCAAAACCTGTTAGGTATCCTACTTCATCAGGGTCCAGTTCCTTGCCACATGTTGCCAATCTATAGGATATACTAACATGAGTGGGGTATTCACTGTCGCAATTTTATAGAAAACATTCCTGGTTCAAAACAGGATTGGCAGTTTATGGAAGGGATCTCAGGTGTGGTGAGAATAGTTTCCAAACAGTTTCTATAATTCAGAGAAATTGATTTTGAAATGCAAAAGTACATTCTGAAGTTCTGGGCGGATGCTGTAAGCGAGAACCCTGACTATAGCATGTGTGGGTGGAGAATGGGTTGCCCACAGGAGAGGACAGTCACCCAGCTCCAGCCACCTGGCACGTCATGTGAGCCAGGGAATCCGGCTGCATGGAGAACGTACGCCTGTCTGAAATGTGCAGCCTCCATCTGGCCCCACCTGTGGGCCAGCATCAGGGGCCAGTGTATCAGATATTCCAATTCTTAAAGAAGTCAGACATCTCGACTGTTGTGAGAAATCTCCCAATTTTTAGATGTTCAGTTATTAAAAGAAGCAAAACACAATGAGTAAAACAAGATGAATCTATAAGCTGAGCTTTATGTCCTCTGCTGTGAGGGCTCAAACAGACATGGCTGGACTCGCGGCAGGTTGGGGGCAGACTGTGGGATAGAATGAACACCAGGAAAAATCAGTTAATAGAGTAAAAACAAAAACAGATGGAAACCCAGGTTGGCTGGAGGGCCAGAGTACGAGAGCAGGGCCTGCTAGATGACACATGAGAGGTGAGAAACAGGAGGAACCAGAGAGCCAGAGGGTTTAAACAGCTATGCCATGGCCCGGGCGACAAGGCTGAGGGAAGAGTGGGGGTTCACTCATTCGCCAGCTGTGGCTCAGGCACTGTCCAGATGTCCAGGGTACGAGATGGACAATGTCCTTGGCCCCACAGAGCTTGTACAGAACTAATCAGGAGACAGACATGGCTGGACTCGCAAATGAAGAAACAAGAAAACAGACAGCAATAAGGGCTATGCAGAATTAAAACAGACTAATAGAGAAAACTGGATGGGTATTTCGAGGAGGCCTCAGAGGGAGAAATGTCCATGCTGAGAGCTGTGAAAAGGACACAGCCTGGCAGAGAGACGTACTCCAACCTGAGGGCACAGCTTGGGGGCAGAGATCCAGGGGCAGAAAGGGGCTCAGAGCGTGGGAGGTGCAAGAGAGGCCAGCGTGTCTGGGGCACGCAAAGGCTTGCTCAGTAACGGCTTTGAAGCCAACGTGAAGAGCTTGGATTTTATTCTGAGCATGACGGGAAACCACTAGAGGTAGTAAAGCAGGGGACTGATGTCTGATTCAGGTCTTAAAAACCTCACTAAAGCTGCTGGGCAGAGAAGAGATGGTGGGGAGCAAGGGTGCAAGCAGGGAGACAAGAGGACACCCCTGATGACGTATGAAAGACCAGGATGGCTTGGACAGGGAGCAGGTGGTGGGGACGGAGAGAAAGAGACGGCTGGAGCCATGTTATTTATACTGATTTGTATGGGACATGTCACTGCTTTGACTTAAAACTAGTATTAGATGACCTATCATCCACATGGCAGGAAGGGTGTCTGTGGTCCTAATGTGAAGTACCTGGATAAACCACACACGGAAACCAGAAGGGAGAGCTAATGAGTGACCCCACCTGGGAATGTCAGGAGAGAAGGGGAGAGGAGCTACCCAGCAGCCTTAGTGAGCTTTTTAAAACATGAATCAGAGGGCATCTGGGAAAGCCTGGTTAGCCGAGTTCTCAACTTGGGGTTCATGCCTGGATTTCAAAACATCTTTCAACCTTGGAAATTATTTGTGAAATCGTGCATGTGTGCGTTTTTCTGTGGGAGGAAACAAATGAGTTTATCAGAAGGTTTAATAAACTCACAAGCCTTCCGAAAGGCTTTGTCTTCCCTGCTCCATTCTATGGTATACAGTACAATTTACAAAGACATCAGATTGAACTGATTTTCAGGCACATCTCTCCTCATGCCCGGGTCTAGTGAATGTCACTCAGGGGCTGAAGAAGCGCTAAGGGGACTGACAGGAGGAGAGGGGAGGGGACAGAAAATGGGGGAGACTCTTGGCTCCCCTGTGGTATTGCACCTGGAGCAGGGGTTAGCCAACTATGACCTGCAGACCAGTTCCTGTTTTTATAAATAAAGTTCTACTGGAACATGGCCACCTCATTTGTTTCCTAGTGTCTATGGCTATTTTTTGTACTGTAACAGCACAGCTAAGTAGCTGCAACAGAGACCGTTGGGCCTATAAAGCCTACACTATTTCTCGGCCCTTCACAGAAAAAGTTTGCTGACTTCCTGACCTAGAGCACCTCCACTGTCGTATTGTTACAGGCCGGGCCTCCACGAAAGCTTTCACTGAAAGGAATCTGCTGCTTTAAAATAAGTTTAGAAATCACTTGTTCTGCCCAGGCCTGCTGCTTGGCCCCCATCAGAAGACCAATGGTTCTTCAGGTTCTCTGGCCTTCCACATCTTTGTGCAAACTGTCTTTTCTTCACAAAATCCACCCTCCAATTCCAAATGACAAAACTGCTACATCCTTCAAGGCTGATTTCAAATGCTGACCTCCTTCATGAAACCTTTCCAACATCTCCCCTTGGCTTTAATGACTTTCTAGCCGGAACATCTCAGCCCTTTCCATTCTGAGGCCAGGGCTCAGCACAGCACTCTGTCTAGATGTTCAGTGTAGTTCACCTGGCTTTGCTTTTTACCTTTAATTGATGCCATTCAGTCATGACAGGTAGAACTAACTTATACCAGGCTTTCTCAACATCGACCTTTTGAGCTGGACAACTCTTTGTTGTGGGGCTGTCCCGTGCACTGTAGCACTGTTCACAGCATCCTGGCCTCTACATGGGAGACACTCATAGCAACTCCTCCCCATCAAGCCGTGGAAATCAAAAAGTGTCCTCAGACACTGCCAAATGTCCCTGGGGGGCAAAATCACCTCCAGCTGAGAACCGCTGATTTACACAGTAATTATAATTCAAAGACCTAAGCTTTAACAATTTAGCTCCAAAGTTGTATTTTACATTCATTTCCCGCGAACCACAAACACATAATCTGTTAATAATCATATCTGAAAGGATTACCATGGTTTTTTCTCTTCCCTCAGCTAGTTTCCTCTTTTTATGTATATGTTTGTTACGGTCAATTTCTACATCACCATACACATTTGATACATCCTCAAGAAGAACCAGTGGAACTTGGCTTGGGGCATTAGGACCTATGGATGGGGGGAAAACACCAACACTTAAAAATGCGGCAAGGAAAATAAAACTTAATATCAGGTGGAAGTTTACTCAGCTGTCGTTTGAAAATACAGGTCATTAAAAAGTATGTTCAGTGTGATCCCAGTTAGGCAGACAAACAAGTATACATGAATAGGAAAAAAGACTGTACAGATATACACGAGATTATTAATAAAGGTTCTTTCTCAATGACAGATTACAAATGAAAGTTCCTTCTCTGTATCTACAAATTTTTCATAGTGATCATGAATCATCATATTAGCCAAAAACTCAAGACTATGAAGTTATATGTAAAATATCTTATAGCTATAAATTCCAAACAAAATCTAAATATATGAAAGACTATAAGGTAATACACAAAAATGAGAGCTGTATTATATTGGATGGGTAGGTGATTTCATTCTTTTACCTTTCTATCTTTCACATTTTTTACAATTTATACGCAAAAATGTTATTTAAAAAAAATCTTTGTCTATCGCAAAGCCTTTGTGAAATCTACTTCAGTACTTTGCTACATCTGCTGCTTTTTCAAAATAGAGGCACTAAGTATATGTATTTAGTTTCACAGTACCACTACATTCTTTAAAATAGAAATTTAATTAATTAATTAATCAAGTGGGCTCCACGCCCAGCATGGAGCCCAAATGCGGGGCTTGATCTCACAACCATGAGATTAAGACCTGAGTGCAGATCAACAGTCGGACACTTGACCGACTGAGCCACCCAGGCACCCCGACATAGAAATTTTAAATGAAAACGTACTTACATAAAAACTACCAACAACTTAAAAAAAGCACTGGTGTCACCCCACAATGATTTGGATCCAAGAACAATGTTAAGTTAAACATTTTCATCACCTTCATCACCCCAGCTGAAGCAGTATTTTGGGAGACTCTTGAATTCTTTAACCAACCTTGGAACAGAGATGGTTGTATGCTGTTGACATACTGGAATGCATTCTTAAAGAAGACCAACATAGTTGAATAAACCACTTGGTTTTTATATTTTGCATGAGCTTCATTATCAAAGTTGTTCATGTATCTGCAGAGATCCTTCATTCTATGCAAAATATCACCATAGCTTCTGAAAGATGAAGGATGATAAAAAGTATTTAATTACTCGGCTTATCAGCAAAGGGTCTAGAGAAAAGCCCCAAAAGAAGCATGACATTTACCAAATGTAGCTGGAGGCATGCATAATTCCCCTTCTGAATTAGAGCAGTGATCAGACCACTATTTCAGGACACAGACACAACAAAGTAGCTACTCTTTCCTCTGAATGCCAAAGAGTGCTTCAAACTCAATAGCATCTTACAAGTTCATACTTCCGTTGGGAATCTTTTAATAAAGTGGAAAACCACCCTCTTTTGCATAAGTGCCAAGGTTATAGAAGTTGTCCAAAGAAAAGTGTATCTATACATTATATGCTTTTTAAGAAAGTGTTTTTGTTTTTAAAGATCCTGAGATATACAGTATCAGAAGGCTTGCTAAGCAATTCTAGAAATGAACAATTTTTTACCGTCTTCCTTTATCCATCTGCCATTCACATCTCATTCCAACAACATTTAAAATCTTAAACAACCTCTCCCAAGGGTCCACAATCTGGGACGATTTTTCAGTCAGCCCTTCTATTATGTACTTCTGAGAGCTCCGTTTGCTAGGTGACATTAAATCAGATGCTTCTTGGGTACCTGGGAAGTCAGAAAAAAGAATCCTATAATTAATCTTACTATTTACTATGTATATAGTACTTGACAGAGAAAGACAAAGTCTGAATCCCTATTCAAAAGGCAAGAGCACAGGGGCACCTGGGTGGCTCAGTCGTTAAGCATCTGCCTTCAGGGTCCTGGGATCAAGCCCTGCATTGGGTTCCCTGCTCTGCGGGAAGCCTGCTTCTCCCTCTCCCACTCCACCTGCTTGTGTTCCCTCTCTTGCTGTGTCTCTGTCAAATAAATAAATAAAATCTTTAAAAATATATATACAAAAAAGGCAAGAGCACAGAATCCCAACACATTATGTGTTTTGTTGAAGGACCCACAACTGGCTACTGGTATAGCAAGAAATGACCTTTGAGCTGTGGTACATGTATGGAGCTCAGGACCCTAATATTATGGTTCCACAAGCTGACTATTTCAAAGGGTAAAATTGGTTCCAGAAAAGTCTTATTTCTTACCTGCGGTATTTTTTTCCAGGAACCATCTTGGTACGCATCCAGAGAATAATCAGAACGATGAGGGATTCTTGAGTTTGCAATTTACTAAAGTCTGTATAAATAAAATTGCAGGATATTCTCACTTACCTTGATGCTGACTCTCTATTTGAGTAGACCTAGTGACATAATTGATATAAAATTCAGCTGCTTTGTTCAAGTACTTATATAATAAATTGGCAGGCAATCGGACATCATGGTTGTTAATTATTAGAGGAAGGACATCACAAACTGTTGAAGAGGAAAAATAAGAAAAAAACAATTAAGTTGTCTGTCTACCCTACAATTCTGATAGAAACAAAATTTATTTTAGAGTTCACTTTATGTAGTATCTAAAATATATAGGGAAAAAACCTTTATGGTCCATTTATTTAAAAATTGCAGTGCAAAGGGACACTAGTGGATGGAGTGAGCAAGGAAATACATAAGCAGATTTTACATTACGGGTAAGGGTCTAGCTCTTACACTGGGTGACAATTCAGATGTTTATTATTATGCCTCATACTTGAATATATTATTACACATATTCTTTCAAAGGAATCAAATGTTATGTAATAAAAATTTAGAAGTTGTTTATTTTTTTATCTTTTTTTAAAGATTTTATTTATTTATTTGACAGAGAGAGACACAGTGAGAGAGGGAACACAAGCAGGGGGAGTGGGAGAGGGAGAAGCAGGCCTCCCGCGGAGCAGGGAGCCCGATGCAGGGCTCGATCCCTGGACCCTGGGATCATGACCTGAGCCGAAGGCAGACACTCAATGACTGAGCCACCCAGGTGCCCCGAAGTTGTTTATTTTTTTTACATAAGATTTTATTTATTTGCCAGAGAGCGAGTGAAAGAGGGAGAGTGTGTGCACAAGTAGGGGGAGGGGCAGAGGCAGAGGGAGAGGGAGAAGGAGGCTGCCTGCTGAGCAAGGAGCCTGATGTGGGACTCAATCCCAGGACCCTGGGATCATGACCTGAGCCAAAGGCAGACGCTTAATTGACTGAGCCACCCAGGCATCCCTAGAAGTTGTTTAAATGCTTTTTGAACTAAAAAAATAAACAAGGATTTAAATTTCAAAATATGAAAAGTTCCTTTGCTTTCCACAAATGACCTTATCCCTGAAATGATACAAAATACAATGTTTCTTACCAAATAATTTTCTAAAGCAGTTAACAGGAGATTCTTGTTCTTCAATAGTTTCAGCCTCTAATAATGCTTCCCCAAGGCCAACCTGTTTCAAAATACAGTTAATCATTTAAACGTGTTACAGTTTAAGATGTCAGAGTTATATAAAGAAATGGCTTTTTAAATTTAACAAACAGCTTGTATATGCAAACTTCCCCAAGAAACAAATATTCTCATTTTAAGGACTAGAAAACAAAATATATCAGCAACACAGCTCAGAAGGAAACCCCAAATTCACCTGACCACTGACTACTTTGTCTTGGTTATCCTTCTCTGAACTAGCAAAATTAAAACGTTAAAATGTCTATAGAAACTTAAAGGAAGCACTGGAACTAGTCAGAATGATAAAGGAGATGTAGAGATTTTCTACAAAATGTAGAACTGTATTCTCTACATCAAGATGTATTATGTTGACAAACCTTACCACTTTCAGGAGTTGTCAGGAGTAGCCAGTCATTCAGCCTTGGCTAGGCTGGACACAACTGTTTGGCTTTTAAGGCCACCTTTCCATTACTTTCTACCATGTATTCCCTAGCAGAGTAGAAAGTAGGCTTATCAAAATCCACCCAGACATCTGCATTATCTTCCTTGGGATCACTTGGCAATGCACGGGGTAGGGGTAAAACAATGGAAAAGATAATAAAACACGAAAAGCTAATAGTTGAGTAATGATCAAGGAATGTATTGGGTTGAATAGCATCCTCCCAAAATTCATGTCCACTCAGAGTTTCAGAATGTGACCTTACATATATTTTATCTTATAAAAAAAGTAAGGTCTTTGTAGATGCAATTAGTTAAGAGGGCACACTGGGTTAGGGCAAGCCCTAAATCCAATGACTACAATCCTTACACGGTCATGTAAAGACACAGGAACACAGACACACAGGGAAGAAAGCCATGTGACAACAGAGGTGGAAACTGGAAACTGGAATGATGTAGCTGCAAGCTGAAGAATGACAAAGATTGCTGGTGACCACCAGAAGCCAGGAAGAGGGAGGAAGGATTTTTCCCTAGAGCCTTTAGAGGGAGCATGGCTCTGCCCACACCTTGCTTTTGGACTTTCAGCTTCAGAACGTGAAGGAATAAATTTTGGTTGTTTTAAGCCCTCAGTTTTCTGGTACTTTGTTATAACAGCCCTAGGAAACTAATAGAAGGAGGTATAGAAAAGGTTAACTGGGGCCAGAAGCTAGAAAGATAGTGTGGGTAAGAATAAACAACAGAATTTGAATTAATAGAGTTAATGATTTGAATCCTGAATCTCCCACTTACTAGCTATGGGAAGTTATGAACATATTTAAGATTCAGTTTCCTCATCTGTAAAGTGGGATACTGTCTACCTCAAGGGGTCTAGGGAGTATGGAAGGAGATACCTAACACTTACCAATGCCTGCCAATAGCACTCAATAATTATTACAGATAAAAGGAATAGAGAGAAAAGCACATGAAAAACATGCCTGTCAAGACTATAGACTACGGCTCTCAGTTAAATTCAAACATTGTTGATTACAATGTAATAGGATTTTTTTTAAAGATTTATTTATTTGAAGAGAGAGCGCACACAGGGCAGGGTGGGCAAAGAGGGAGAGGGAGGGAGAGAGAATCTCAAGCAGATTCTATGCTGAGACGGGAGCCTGACGTGGGGCTCAATCTCACTACCCTGAGATCACAACCTGAGCTGAAATCAAGAGTTGGATGCTCAACCAACTGTGCCACCAGGCACCTCTGGAATAGGATTTAAAAAAAAAACTTTACTGTACTTTACAGATTGCAAATAAATATGACTGTCAAAGTTTGGTGACTGTTTCCTTACACTGATGGGAAACTTACCTCCACTGGAAATTTATAAAGTTTGAGGACAGTGACATCCTTTCAGCTTTACTGATGAAGATTCCTTGATTTAAGTTCAATCTTACCTAGTGTTCTTCAGAATTTCTGTTTTAGAATAATACCCATTATAGCTTCTAACCCAACTGATGAATGTGTTGATCGATTTTATTTTCTCTTGAGAAAAAGGAAAGGATCAAGTCATACCCCATGCTGCACCACTGTTTCAGGGAAGCGTCTCAAAAGCAGAAGCAACATTTCTGATCGTTCCAACGTGTTGAAGCATTGTTCTGTAACCTTTAGTAACATTTCGCACTGGACCCGACCAGGGAGAGTTTCAAATAAACCTGTACATAACACATTTTACTTTAAAAAATTTCTTTCAGAAAGAAAATCCTAAAGCTAAAGTGGAAATAAGGCATTTTCATGTACAGAACAGTAAATACTACATTTAGAATCACTGTTTGAGTTTTACCTACAACCTAGAAGGCTTTTGGGTCAGATGGTATTGGACACAGATGTTTGCTGAATGACCCTAAAACATTTGGAGGCCTTATTGGGTCCAGAAGACAAGAATGGCGTAGGTGAAGGGTCACAACAGTGCTTGCTGTTGGCTGAGATAAAGAGGATGCATTTGTTCAAGGTGAAATGACCTAAACCACCCACTTTTTTATCCAGAATTGAAATCTTTGATTGGCTATCACAACCAATACAGAGTGAAGGTTAATGAGAAAGGTCATAAATCACTAAAAGTTTCTCTCCTGTTTTGTGGAGATCTGCCTAATCTACAGATGCTTTCTGATCACTATAAAATCTGTTAAAAATATATGCAATTCCCTGGGCTAACTGATAAATCTACACCCTTTAAGGAAGCTTAGAGGTTTCTATACAAATGCTCAAGGGACCAAGTGACACCATTTGAATAGACTTAAGTTGTCAAGAACAAACATACATTTGGGTACCAATACCACAGATATTGAATTTTCTGTGAAATTACTATATATGACTTAGTATTTCAGAAGTGGTAATTTATACACCATTAGTTATCACTCCATTCTTACTTCTTAAAAATTGGGTTTGTTTATCCTGTGAATCGTTCCTTAATGCTGATGTAATAATGCTGATTTCTCTCCACACCACCGGCTGATCTGGGAAATTCACAAACCTATTTTAAAATGAATGCATTAAATTAAAATGTCAGATTCTATACAGTATTACAAAAAGAAAAGAACATTAGCATATGGAGAAATACACATATTTCTCTATTACAAGTGAATATGCAGACGTACCGAAACAAGCCAAAATAAAGATATAAAAATAAAAACTGAGGAAAATGAGGTTAATCACAAAAGTTTTCAGAGTTTTTTATAAGTGAAAAAACAAATGACCATAATATATAAAGCATTCCTAAATATCAACAAGAAAAAAGAACTAAAAGAAAAAGTGGGCAAAGGCAAATCACAGAAAGAATACAGCTAAAGAGAACCCTTGAAAAGATACTCAGTCTTATTAGTAATACAATGAACACAAATTTTTAAAAAATAGTAAGATACCACTTTCTATCACACTGGCAAAAATTAAAATATGATAGAAAGACTGATAATTTCCAATGCTGGCAAATGTGTGGGAAAACGGGCACTCTTATACACTGCTAGTAGAAATGTAAATTGGAATAGTATTTTTTGCAGAGTAATTTGATAGTGAATCGTGTATACCCTTGACTGTGAAAAATCAATGTTTAAGAATCTACTCTACAGAAAAACACTAAAATATGGGTACAAAATTGCTTACTGACACTCTGAATATAATCTCAAATAATTGGAAACTACCTCAATGTCCACCAGTATTATGAAATGCTATGCAAATATGAAAAAGAGCTCTACATACTGAAAAATAAAGGCATCCCTCCATGGCTGGGGGTGAAGAAAGCAAGCTGCAGTGTGAGGTATGTAGCATGATTTCACTTTTGTAACCCTTCCCCACAAAAACCAACTTATATGTATTGTATGTACACAGTACATTTGTGTATACACAGACACACAACACTTAACTCTGGTTGAGTTGGAGGGACTTGCACTTGTTATTCTCTATATTTCAGTATTGTCTGAACTGCAAAGAGCACTATTATTTCCAAAGCAAAATAAATTATTGTAAAGTTTTAACAAGAATAAAATATAAGAAGACTTCTCTGCAGAAGGCATGTCAGACGTAAGACTAAGTAAGCGTTAGATTAACCAGAGATGTAGATGAACTTGAAGATCCCCCAACCCCCACTTCCACACACAGACAAAACCTCACGAGAGATCCCGGGCAGTGCAAGTTGAACTCACATGTCGTACAGCAGTCTCCCGGCGGTGGCGGTCCTCTCGGCATTCCGCTCGATGGTGTACATCTCATACTGCAACACAGATCAGCCCCGAGGGTCACAACCTCCGCCCGGGGCTTGGTCCTAGCTCACCGACCGCAGCGCTAGCTGGCCTTCACTGAGCACCCCCAACCCGGGAGGGCCTGATAGCAAAGCATCCACCTGGTGGCGCAGAGCCACGGGGCTTACGAGTGCGACCCTCGAGCTCACTTAGAATCCTTCGGTCCCCAAGACTGGAGGAACACTGTCTCAAAAGTAGCAGGCACTAAACAAATGGCTGCCATGATGATGAGCGAGCGAGAGAACGGCCTTTCCCAGGGGCGATGCGGTGCCGTCCCGGCCACCAAGCAGCAAAACACCCCCACGCCTCCAGCCACCCGGACCTCGAGCGGGGTCCGCTGTGTCTCCAGGTGCCGGCCTCGCGGGAGAGAGGGCGTGTGAGGGGTGTCGGAGAGCGGGACGGGGGAGGTGTCGAGAAGTGGGAAGAGAGGAAGCGGGGCGGGCCGGACTGGAGGCGGGCCGCCTTGGGGGGGAAGAGCTGGCGGCCAGGGCAGCCCCGGTGCGGCGAAGTGCTCACACTTCCACGGAGGCAGCCGCGTGCACAGGCCTGACCTCACCTGGATGTTAAAGTCGGCGGGGTAGAGGCTGCGGGCTGTGATCAGCCAAGCCTTGGCTGCCCATAGGTCCTGCTGCACCAGCTCCCGGGCTCGCTGCACCAGGAACTCGCAGTCACCCTGGGCCGACATAACCCAGGAGGCGTCAGGCCGCCGGCAGCTGAGGTCGTTTACCTTCCGGCTCTGGAGACACCCTCGCCGCCGCCGCTGCCGCGGGGGAGGCTTCTGCGCATGTCGGGGTTGGCCGATCCGGAAGAGTTTTCCGGGTTTTGCGAGCACCCTCCTCCGGTCAGCTCTCAGTAACCGTCCGGCCTCTTCCTCCTTTGAGGACCTAGTGTTTTCGTTATCTTTTCCAGGTCACCTGCAAGATGTGGAGAAGTGGATTCCCACTCTTGCGGGCTCCAGCGTGACTCTCGTCCAGTCAGGGAGCATGCGCGAGAGCCAGTACTCGCCGAGCTGCCTAGGCGGGTTCTTCCATCCCTCTCCTGGAGGTCTGCGGAAGGGCGGTCCCTGGGTGTCCTCAAGTCTGGTACCCCGGACCAGGCTGGAAAGAAGTTTGAGAGGAAAAGGCAGAGAGCGGCCTAGAAGGCGCGGGAAGGAGCGCACAGAGCTTCCTCGGCCCCGGGCGGAGTTGAGGAACCTGTCCCTGGGTCATTGCCCAGGATTAGGTTTATGGGAAAAAGTCTGAGGCCAGATAAGGGGCCAAGGCACAGACGGGCAACGTAGTGCCTAGCGTTCGTTCTGGTGCATTTTATGTTTTCTAAGTATGTCCCGTTATATTGTTACGCCTTTATTTGCTGATTTCTGCAACAAACTTTGAGTTATTACAGTAGTTAGTACTTCGAAAGTGCTTTGCTGCATGCAGTGGAAGCTACAAAGATTATTCCTGTCCCAGCAGAGGTTTTACAATGATATGGACATGTGGCCTACAGAAAAATAGGCCATTTTAATGATGTCTTCCCATCAAATCAGTGTCATTTTCACCAAAACTCCAGATTTGTTTTCCATTTGAGAGAAGGAAAACGAAATAGTCTTCCTGCTCTGGTGAAGGGGAGGCCGAATTTAAGAGCTGGAGTAGCAATACTTACCTGCCTGCTAGGAAGAATGTACCAAAATGTGGATTCATTAGTTTTCAATCCAAGTTCTATATACAAAAAGTTTTAGCAAGTTCTATTTACCACTGATATCTTCGATTTATTTGATTTAAAGCCAAGAGATTAAGGATTAAAAACTGGTATGTTTTAAAAATAGAAATTACTGGGACACTTGGGTGGCTCAGTCGTTAAGCGTCTGCCTTCGGCTCAGGTCATGATCGCAGAGTCTTGGGATCGAGTCCCACGTCGGGCTCCTTGCTCAGTGAGGAGCCTGCTTCTCCCTCTCCCTCTGCTGCTCCCCCTGCTTGTGCTCTCTCTTTCTGACACATAAATAAAAAAAATTAAAAGAAATAGAATACTAGGTACTTATTTACGTGAAAAATATTTTAAATAAATATGAATGTATACATTACTATTCATGGGTACATATAAGGTCTAATATATTCTTACTAATTGTGATAATTTATAAATAAATGATCTTAAAGTTAATAGTGAGTTAGTATGCTAACTTTAGAGATAAGTACCAAGAAGGGCAGGCACAAAGAAATAGTATAAAGCACCACTGCTGTCAAATCCAAGCTCTTTTATTTTGCTATTTAGTTTATGATACCATTCTAAATGTAGCACTTTTAATTATCTTCCCCTTTACTCAGAAATTTTAAAGATTTTATTTATTTGAGAGAGAGAGAGCACGAGATGGGGGAGGGTCAGAGGGAGAAGCAGACTCCCAGAAGAGTAAGGAGCCTGATGCAGGGCTCTGTCCCTGGACTCTGGGATTATGACCTGAGCCAAAGGCAGACACTTAACCGATTGAGCCACCCAGGTGCCCTTTTACTCAAAATTTTTAAAATTTGATTTTGTTTCATTAGTAGCCCCAAAGATATCTTAGCTAGATTCACTGCATTAACATCAGTCATTATCTATTGATTGCATACTTGAGGAAGTATTCTGGTTCCAAAGATGCTCTTTAATGTCCCCTGATTATGCACAGCAATAGCCTAATCGTGCCATTACTTTGTAGGCCAGGATTGCCCGGTGACAGAATTCTTTTGGCTTTGTAGAAAAGAAGGGTGAAAATGTAACTTAAATAGCTCAGAGTAATTTTTATCTTATAACATATAGATCATGAAAACATTGCTGGCTTAAATTTTTTTCATTATTTAATTTTAATAAAGTGCTATGTAAAGATTTTTGAGTGGCAAAAGTGACTGATTTGGTTTTTAAACTTCATGTTTTGGGTCTGGAATTACCAAAACAAAATCGTATACTTGTCCCTAAGTCTTTAGTTCTCCAGTGTTCTGTTAGATTACAGATGTCAATTAATATTTTCTATCTAGGGGCTAAATAAGGGAACTCTGGTTGTATTTAGGTACCAACCAGTTGAAGTAGCCTCTTACTTTTTGCCAGAATACAATGTAAGATTTGTAGCTATTTTCTTGACAACTTCTTAATTTTGAAAGGTGTCCAGCTAAACATTTCTCCTAGGATGTCATGCTGACATCTGGAAGTACAGAAAGGAGGTACCACACAAGGTGAGTTGCCATATTTTGACCTCTTTGCTGTGATCTTGAAGGCTCACTAAGGATCTGAGCTCCTGGCTCATGTTCTCCACCACAACTTCTAAGTCATGTAAAATGCCCGGCATCTAGCCTGAAGTTCCTTAAACTCAGTTCAGTGATTTGTATTAAACTCAGTTCAGTGATTTGTATTAAACTCTATGTTCTTTTTACCTTCCACCTGAAAAACTTCAAATTCACAAATGCAACCTCTTAAAACTTGCCAGCACTTGGTTCTTTTCAGCAATTTCCTCATTTCTCTTCTCCTGGATTTTAGCTTTGCAGACTTCTATTTCCTTGACACCTACCTTCTTCTAGTATATTTGACTCCTCCTGGACCTCCTCCTTTCCTACTGATGCTAAAGTCTGTGCTCTGACATGCAGCATGTTCAAGGTCTGTGCATTCTGATCCCACCACTGTATCTGCTCTTCAAGTTACCAACCCTGGATCCAGCCTTTGTGCATCTCCCAGATGTTGCAGCTGGCTTGAAATAGGTGCAATAAATATATGTTCAATGAATGCAGAGGAGGCTGAGTTCTGTTGGTGAATAGCACACACAGGTGCAGATTGATGCTGCACCAAATTCCAGGGCTTAGTATCAGTTTGAGCCCTCAACTACTCCCACCTCCCATTCTTTCACCAGCTGTTTAAAGCCTTTGTAATTTCTGTAATTTTTCTCAAGTGCTCATACACTCTTCACCTTGGGCAGAGGGTTTTGCCTTCAATAGGGAAGATTGAGGCCATCAGGCCTTACTTACCTCCTTCAATTTTGGAACCATGGCCCTATTTATCATTCAAGACCAAACACGTCACGGGGTACCTATTCTTAAAATCCTTTGATGGTTTTCAATGTGCTGATACCTGGCTTGCAGGCATGGCTCTGCCTTACCTTTTGCTACCACCATCCCCTGCCTCCAATCCCAGAACTTCTTTCAGTTCTTCCCTGTGGTGTCTTCTCCAACATCCCCAGGCATCCATGTGGGCTATCGCGTCTGCTCTGCTCAGAACGCTCCCTCCTGCTAGCGCGGAGGGAACTAATTCTTTGTGTCTCAGACAACACCTCCCTGACCAATCCCTGCTTGGTTCCATCGTTCTTATACTGTTTTATAATTGATGGTTTACCAGACATTAAGCTCCATTAGATCAGGGGCCTATCTCTTATGCTATTACTATCTCAACCCCTAAGATATGCCAGACATGTAGGCTTTCAATACAATTTAGATGAGTTTTGAATTTTTTTCACCCTTTGCTTATCAGTTTGCCTAAACCTTTAATTTTAGAGATTTCATTCCCCTGGTTTCAGAGGATAGAGGGTCCCTTTTGTTCAAGGCCAAAACCACCCGTGCTCCGAATCCCGTAGCCTTGGCTTCCTCAGAAAATCTGCTTTATCCGTTATCCTCACATCTACAGTGTCCATCTATTTCTACGGATTCCTACCAGCAGAGGACATGTTTTAGGGGGGCTGCTGCAGCTTCCCATTGTTTCTAGTAGATGCTGTGTGCCCTGCACAGTTCCCCTCTCCCAGGCGACACACACATTCCCACTGCTGTATGGGCTGCTAACCGCCCACAGCTGCTCCCTCTGTAAGAGAATTGCCTTCAGCTTCCTTCAAAAGTTGGCCATTCCCAAAGGAGTGATACAAGGTACAAAATGTAGTGCCCTTGCCTGAAAGGGAGGAAATCTCTGGTATAGTTTATGTTCGGGGCAAGTTTGTCTGAGACCACACGTATGTTCAGCTCTTTCCCCTTCCCTATCCTGCTTCCTTCCCTTAGAGGCTTTTCTTGAAGGACACTCCCTCAATAAATCATGTGTTCCCAAATCCCTGTCTCAGGATTTCTAGGTAACCCAGCTTCAGACAATAATTACTACCGGACATGGGAGCACTATGAGGTACCTCATAAATCCTCTGGGTTCTAGACCTTGTCCCTCTGCATCATTTGTGTAGCTGCAACCATTTTCCCTTGGGAATTAGGATCAATGATCTAATACAGTAGCCCCTTTCCTTTCTGCCTATTGGTTCAGAGGTGGAAGGAGCACCAAACGATCAGGTGGCAGTCTTGCTTCCAACTCAGTGGAACCCTGACTATGTTCCCAGATGGTTACCCTCCTCTCTTCAGAATTAGGACTTCCAAATCCTCAGAGCACAAGATTTAAGGGGGACAGAAAATATTCCATTAGTGGATTATTGGGTGTATTTTGAAGGGCTACTCTCTCCTCCCACCCTTGCTTGGTTTAAAGCATATCCTATGTTGATAGGACAGTTCCCCAACGTCACAGGGTGTGGTTTAGCTGACATCCTAATTAAGCCTCCAGTAGACCATATTCCACCATTCTGTCAGGCCACCTACTCCTGGGTGATGGAAATAGAGTAAGACCAGTGAATGCACTGGGCCTGTTTCCTCTGCCACGTTTCTTTTGCCATAAAATGAGTTATTGGGCCTGAAGTGATATTGTATGGGATACAATGGTGATGAATAAGGTGTTCTGTAAGTGCATGAATGGTGGAATGGGCAGAATGTTATGGGGGCAAATCTGAATAGTATGAATTCCCATGAGGACAAATCACTCCCTTCTCCATGAAG